CTTCCTAAACACTGAGCTCATTTACTTAGATTCCATTCACCACCTTCACTGGATGTCTAAACGCACTGGTCTATGAAAGGCTATACTTAACAAGTCCCAAACTGAGCTCCAGATCACAGTTCCCTCAAGCTGTTCTTCCTTCAGTCTTCCCCATTGCTGAGGCAAATAACAGCTGTACCCTTGCATTCCCTCAAGCCAAAAACTTTGGAGTTGTCTTTGAATCCTCTGTTTTCACATCTATAGTGCAAACCATTAGTCTACCCTACATTATATCCATACTCTAACTATGGCTCACAACTATTTCTACTATACTGGTCCAAGTCACCACATTCTTCTGCCTGGAAAATTCCAAGGCTTCCCAATCTACCTTTTAGCTTCCATCCGCATCACCCTATATTTTGTTCTCAGTGTAGCATCCCAAATGATGCTTTTAGAACTTGCCATATTGCTCAAAACTATTCAGTGGCTTCCCATCTGACAGAGCAAAATGAAATCTTTAACATGCCCCACAAGGTTCTCTGTATAACTAGAGTATTTCTCTGACATCCCCCCAGAACATCTCCAACAACAATAACCTTCTCACTATTTCTCATTCTCCTACCTCTAGGTTTTTGCATCTTTCAATCTCCCTGCATGGAATACTATACCCCATAGACTCATATGGCTCACTTTCTTATTTTATTCTAGTATCTGCTAAAATGTCACTTCATCACAGAGGCCACCCTTATCTAAAGTATTTTAGCCCACACCTCCATCACTTCCTTTCCCCTTGTTTTATTTATTATTCTAGTTTGCATTCTACTGAAATTTGAACTTCATGAGAACATGAACATTGTTTTTGTTTACTGGGGTGACTTCAGTGCTTAGAAGTGTACAAAGTACATAAAAGCACAATATGAGGAGGGACCCCCCCAATTGGAATTTATGTATTAAAAAATGTGTATTTATTCTTACATGTTTAAACTTCAGTCACCTTCAAAGTACTCTCTGTTTGATGCAATACACCTATCAAGATGCTTTTTCCACTGCTCAGAACAGTTTAGAAATCATCAATTTTGGTGCCTTTTAGTGCTTCTGTCGTTTTTTGTTTCACCTCTTCCACATTAGCGAAAGGTTTCTCTTTGAGGACTTTTTTCATCCGGGGAAACAACAACAAAAAAGGTCACTCATGGTGAGATCAGATGGCTTGGGGATCATGCTGTTTTAGGTCAAAAACTGCTGAACACTCAGCGCAGTGTGGGCAGGTGTGCTTGCAAATCACCCATCATGAAATCAAATGCTTGAAAGAATTGCCCCCCAAAATTAATTGAAACCAAACACAGCCTCTCACAACAACTCTAGCTGGTACACTGATGCCAATGGGTTCCTAGAGCACTTACCTAGCAGGGGAAGCCTGTACTACAAGGGGCCCACTCTCCAAAAGATAATTCCGGGTATTTTTTATGATTTTCGTTTTTGTTTTGTTTTGGTCTCCCCTCGTATATATTAAATGAATGAAGATCTTGTTTTATTGTTAGAACACTTATTGTATAATCTAAGTGTCAGTTCACTGTTTCCATAAAATTCACTTCCTTCCAGAGGAAGAGGGGAGAAAAGACAGATGTGTTACATTCACATCTGAGTTATTCATTCAGAATTCAACCCCTGGTGTTCTTGAATCTTTGCTGAACTCCTCAGCTCTTCCACTGTGCTACCACCCACCTGCTGAAGAGGGGATGCTGCTTCTTTCACACCATCTCCAGCAGGGGGCGAACGTGAGACTGCTTGTGCTTCCTGCCATTTTATCACCTCCTTATAATGTCCACTGCACTATCACACAGGGTAGTGCAAATGTATCAGTTGTGACTGAACTTTTGAGGTCAAAAATTACAGCATAGGTAGGGAAATATTAAAGTTATACATGAGATATTTCTTTTCCCATAGTCCCAAAGAAAAATATTTAAGTTAAGCACTTTTCAGAAAGCCCCTTATTTCTAACTGTATATACCTTTACATGGCACTGTGCTTTTTCTCTTTTGCAAAACACAGAACATCCACCCTCCTTATAGTCTTATCCCTTCCTTAAGTAACTGATTTCACTCCAAGATCCATCACCCTTCATCCAATGGTACATTTCTCAGTCTGAGTCTTGAATAACACAGGGGGTGGGCTTTCAGCAGGACTGTCCATGATTGTCCTTGGGACTTGAGTTCCTCAAAATAGTCTGTGGTAAGCTTACCCACACCGTGTCCTTAAGATCTGTCCAAATGATAATTCTTCAGAAATCTCTTTTGAATGATTAGTTGTCATTTCAACACTTCTCTCTTTTTCTCTCTTTCCCACATTTCCCACAGGTCGTCTTTTTTTCATGATACATGTTATAATTTAAATCCTTAGGGAGGAAGTTAAATATTTACCCCCAGATTATCAAGACTGGCTTGCATGGTGTCTGATGAAGTCTGTTAAATTTTCATTTTTATTGTTATTTATTTATTTTGTCTTTTTTTCTGGCTAACTTGAATTTTTTTTATCACTGGTTTTAGCAATTTGATTATGATTTTCCTTAGTGTGTTTTTAATGTTTTTTCTGCTTGGAGTTCATTGAGCTTCTTGGATTTGTAAGTTTATAATTTTCAAAAATTTGAAAATGTTTCAACTATTATTTCTAAGATATTTTTCCTGCTTGGCCATCCTTATTTCTAAGTACATGTATGTTAGATTGCTTTGTTTTGTAGGTCACTAGTACTCTGCTTATTTCTTTTTGTAGTCTTTTTATTCTATTCTACGCACTTTATTTTAGATATTTTCCATTGTTATGTTAATTGTTTCATACTCTTTTTTTGTAATATTTTAATCATCTTTTAATCCCATCCAGTAAATATTTCATTTAAGACATTGACTCTTTGGTTACTAGAAGTGCAATGTGGTTATCTTTTATATCTTTCATTTCTCTTCTCATCATAATATTTTGTCTACCTATTTATTTATTTAGTTAACTATTTACAATATCTGTCATTTCTGGCCCTTTTTCTTTTGGATGGGTTTTCTTTTGCTTTGAGGTTACATTTTTTGTTTGTTTGTTTGTTTCTTCTAGTCCTGGTAATTTTTTAATAGATGGAAGATGTATATTTTAAGTGTCATGGATGATGGACTTTATTGTATTCTTTTAGCTTTAGACTTATTGTTGTATGTAGTTAGTTGTGCAGAATAACAAGTTTTCAAAAACTTGTTTCCAAGCATTGTTAAGACAAATCCGGAGTGACATTTAATGTGAGATAATATAAGCTCACTCCTAAGGCAATACTCACATAAGGACCCTAGCCAATAGTCTATGGGCTATGAGACCTTTATACAAGTTCTTGTTGGGACACAGACTTTCACACCTTGTATGAGCTCTTGGCCTTATTTAGCTTCTTGCTTTTTTACTTTCTTTTTATTGTCCGTTTCCAGCCTCAGTAGTTTCCTCTGACACATGAAGAGATTAGTACTCAAATACTCAAGGAGACCCCTATCTAGACTATTCTTGCTCTCTGTCATTATGAAATCCCTTTTCCTCTGACATTCTTCTCTACAAATTCTAGACTCTTTGGTTTGCCTGAACCTTTATCTCTGTCTCCTGGATTTAGTGATACTGTCAGGCCTGTGTCCCCACCTTGCACTGCAGCCTGGAAACTGCCAGAGACAGTGAACTGAAGTGGTCATAGGGCTCACCTCATTTCTTTCTTTTTTCTTGGGTAGTTTGTCCGACACTGAGTTTTGCCCAGTTTTTGAGTTATTTAAGGCAGGAGGAGAACACTGTTACTTTATCATGGCCAGAAATGGGAGTTCCAATTTGTTCAAAGTCTGACAAAGTTTTTGTTGTGAAAAATTCTGAACCTGCATACAAGTTAGTAAAATGACTTTTTCTGAGATTCACTGCTTAATTTGATCTTATTCAGTAAATATTAGGTGTGTCCTATTTTGTGGACATTTATACTCTCTTGGAATATATTATCTTTCGCATTTACAAGTGAGTAGGATTAGGCCAGGCACTGTGACTCACACCTGTAATCCTAGCACTTTGGTGTCTAATTGGAGATGGAGGGTGATGGGGAGGATTGAGTCTATGACAGCGTCCAGTTTTCTGGCCTGTTGAACTCATTGAGGACTCTGAGTCCCAAAAGGATTTGCCTATTCTGCAAAGAGCACCAAACAACCCCATGGGGTGCAAGAAAAAATAGCAGAATTTTATTATTCCCCTCTCAGTTTTTTAGTTTCTATTTGTATATATCTTAGAAACTAGACAATAAATGAATACAGTAGCATGTGTACATAAGTTAAAGTAAATTGATATCCATATATTGTTGGATATGCTCAAATATTTTGTTATCAGGATGTATGATCAAAGAGCTTGGGCATTCTTGAGACAAGAAATACAAAAAAAAAAAAAAAGAGAAAGAAAGAAAAGATTTGGAGGTCATGGGAATTGTGAGGTGGCTGTAGAACATTCAGGCAGTAACTTACAGCGGGCTATGGGGTTTAGACCTAGTAAGAACAGTCCAGTGGAGCCTTCTGTGATTATGGAAATATTTGAAATGTGCATTGTCCAATATGGTAGCCGCTAACCACATATGCCTATTGAGAACTTGAAATATGGCCAGTGTAACTGAGAAACTGAAATACTTCATTTTGTTTAATTTAAATATGTTTAAATTTAAAGAACCGCCTGTAGCTAATGGCTATGGTATTGGAAAGCACAGATCTAAAACTTAGGAGAGAGACCTAGGGTCTCTTATTGAATGCTTCTACTGGCTAAGTGTTTTACATACAATTTAAAGCAATTTAATCATCCCACTATGCTGTGGAATAGGTAGCTTTAAGAAAGAAAAGAGTATGTTCTTATTTATCCTTTTAATATTAAAAGATTATAATGTAAAGAAGAACATATTTACTATGAGATATATGTACTTCCTAGATAATCTCTGTTGGTAGGTATTTATGCATCTTTCACAATCAAGTAACAACTTTATACTTTTGTTTCAGGTGGTTTGCTCTGTTAGAGATTCAAATATTTGTTATTTTAATGCTTTATAAATATGACTGTAGTCTTCTGGATTCATTACCTAAGCAGGTAAGTGTTTTCAGAATTTTGAAGATCATGATAACTTTCAAGTTTGATATAAACTGTAACTCCCTGATTAATTACTACAGATCAACTGACTGGTCTCCCAGTTAGACCTGTTCTTGACAGATGCCTTAGATAGAACCAGACTGAGAAGATAAGTACTGGGTCCTAAATTCAGGATCTAATCTATGTGCCCGTTATCACATGACCAGGACCTAATAGCAGTGTTTTCCCCACTTCCAGTGTTAGGAGCTCCTCAATGAAACCATTTTGGACCCTTTGCTCTGTGTTAAATAAACATGAACTTGACTTTGACCTTGCTTCCCTAGAAAGGAATTTCTGTCAGTCCAAAAGTAAACCATCAGTTTTGGATGCAAGTCATAGTCCTGGGTCTGTTTTGGAAACATTGGCATGAGAGAAAACTAATCCAACAGTGAGAACAGTGAACAAATGAAAAGGTCATGTGTTATTTCTACCTTTGACCATTGAATATTCCATTCATTTAACTCTGCTGTTCTCTTAGAACAGTGACTCTCAAACTGGAACGCATATCTGAATCACTTAGAGGGCTTGTTAGAACACAGACTTCTGTTCCCCAACTCTAGAGTTTCTGATCCAGTGGTAACTGGAAAGGGGTTCAAGAATTTGCATTTCTAACAAGTTCCAGATGACACTGCTGCTGGTCTGGGTACCACACTTTAAAAATCACTGTCATAAAAAAAAAAAAAAAAAAAAGGAGAAGCTCAAATATTTGAAAGTCATTTTGGAAACTCTGGATAAAAGATGTTATTTAAACTAGGACTCAATCCTCAGAATTGAGCATTGCAGTCTCAGAGCTATTCACATAGAATTTTGTGCTTTGATTTACTCTTGATATAATAAGGCTAAAGTATGGAGGGATAAATAAAACTGTTGGGTGACATTTCAATAGAAATTATGTAAGTGAGTAAGTGACACAGAAAATATATTACTCACAAATATGTCCATTTCAGCATTTCCTTTGATTTCTTTTTCTCCTTCTATTTTGAGCACAAGTAACTATTAGTGATGAAGAGCTCTCAATATCTTTTTTTTTTTTTGAGTTGGAGTCTCACTCTGTCGCCCAGACTGGAGTGCAGTGGCCGCTCCCGGCCACCGCAGCCTCCACCTGCTGGGCTCCTGCGACCCTTCCGCCTCAGCCTTCCAAGTAACCAGAATTACAGGCATGCGCTACCACGCCCAGCTGATTTTGTTTTTTTTTTTTGCAGAGATGAGGTCTCACTGCCCAGGCGGTTCTCGAACCCGTGGGCTCAGGCAATCCACTCACCTCAGCCTCCCAAAGGCATGGGATTACAGGCTGAGCCACCAAGCCCGGCTTCTCAATATCTTACAATGAAAGGCAACTCAAAACACCCTTCACAAAAGTTCTCAACTACCTACAATGTTGTTGGCAAAATGGACATTAGGACTGGGCGTTATAGACACCAAATTGGTTCCTGGTCCACCAAGTTAGATGTCACAATTTTGCCCAGTATTAAACTCAGCATCCAACTATTTTCCACTGGCAACAGGACATCAGAATGTCTTTTCACATTAGAAGAATGGCATTGTCAAAACCAAGGAAATCAGTAATTTAACCAACTCCTTAAACAAGATTTTTCCTAGTACTTTTTTCTTAGTTAAGAATTATATTGGCTGTATTTAATTTATTATACTATTTTATATTAAATAGGCTATTCATATTTTGACACTGATAAGAACAGTTTTTTAAGGAAATGGTATTATATCTCAGTTTCTAAAAAAGTACAAGTTTAAGTGAATCCTCGTGGTCTCAAAGAGCATTTTATTTCACAATTCTTATTTTGGGATGAGAAAATTATTCTGAAATTATTTAATCTAAATTATTTAATCACTGAACTTGTTCTAATAACTAGTAAAACAAAGTGCAGGAAATAACTTTCAAATTGCCAGGTTCTTTTAGGGGACAGAGAGGATGAGTTATCAAAGCATGTTTTGAGCTCTCTGCTGTCAAGTGCAGGGAAACCAGTGGACTTGGAAATCAATGCCACTAAAGGAATTTACTTGCCAGAAGAAACAAACCAAAGGCCAGAATCCCTAATTTTAATTTTGTGACACCCTAGTGTTTTATTTTACTTCAAAGGATCTTAAGAAACTAATTTAATATTAATTCCCTCCCATTATGAATCAAGTAAGGACACACTACAAAGCTTTTGAGGACTCATAACTGGGTAGGAGGATCTTTTTTCTTCTTTTTAAATTTTTTTCTTTTAAAGATGTGGGGTACAATCCAGGGTTAAGTATACAAATGTGCATTATGCAGGTACCCTTGTTGATGAGGTGTGCTCCTCCATCCCCCAGCAGATTTCCACTACTGCCAATCCTTTTCTTACAGTATTACGGTATTTGTTCAAGGTCCGCTTATGAATGAGAACATGTGATACTCAAATTCTTTGTTTCTGTGATAGATCACTGAGTATCATAGACTATAAGTCCATCCAAGTTGCTGTGAAGTTCATAATTTTGTCCTTCTTTATGGCTGCGTAATATTCCATCATGTATATGTACCACATTTTTTTTAATCCAGTCCTTTTTCATGGGCAGCACAGTTGGTTCCATGTTTGTGCTATTGTAAACAATGCTGCAATCTTGTTCATAGAGTGCTTTGATTTCCTCTGGGTATATTCCCAGTAGGGGGTTTGTGGGGTCATATGGAAGGTCGATTTTTAGATCTTTTAGGATTCTAGTTACCAAACTGTTTTCCACAGAGGTTGTATTAGTTTACACTGCCACCAACAGTGTAGAAGTATTCCCTTTTCCCCACATCCTCTCCAGCATCGGCTGTTTTTTGAGTTATTGATGATGGCCATGCTGACTGGAGTTAGATGGTATCTCAGTGTGGTTTTAATTTGCATTTTTTTGATGACTAGTGAGGCTGAGCATTTTTTCATGTATCTGTTGGCTGCTTGTATGTCTTCTTTCGAGAAGTGTCTATTCATATCTTTTGCCCACTTTGTAATGGGGCTGTTGGTTTTTTTTCTTTTCAGCACGTTTGAGTTCCTTGTAGATCCTAGATGTTAGGCCTTTGTTAGACATACAGTTGGCAAATATTTTTTCCCTGTGTGTGGGCTGTCTCCCTGCTCTCTTGATGGTTTCTTTGGCTTTGTAGAAGCTTGTCAGTTTGATGAGGTCCCACTTGTCTGTCTTATCTCTTATGGTCTGGGCATTTGGGGTTTTGATCAGGAATTGGTTGCCAGTTCCAGTTTCCATAAGGGTGTCTCCTGCATTTTCTAAGGTTCTTATAATTTGAGGTTTTCCATTTAGGTATTTGATCCATTTATAGTTGATTTTTGTGTATGGTGATAGGTAGGGTCTTGTGTTAATCTTCTGCATGTGGTCAGCCAGTTTTCCCAGCACCATTTACTGAATAAGTTTTCTCCCTAGTTGTTGTTGGTGGAGGCTTTGTTGAAGATGAATTAGTTGTGAAATTGAGGTTTTGCTTCTGGAATCTCTATCCTGTTCCATTGGTCTGTATGCCTGTTCTTGTTCCAATACCAGCCCATTTTGATTATTGTAGCTTTATAATAAAGTTTAAAGTCTGAGAGTGTGATACCTCCTGCTTTTTTTTTTTTTTTTTTGCTGAGAATTGTTTTGGCTATCTCTGGTCATTTATGTTTCCATATGAATCCTGCATTGTTATTTCCAGGTCTGAGAAGAATGGGTATTGCATTAAATCTGTAGATTGCCTTAGGTAGAATGGATATCTTCACAATGTTGATTCTCCCAATCCATGAGCATGTAATATTATTTTCATTTGTTTTTGTCATCTTTGATTTCTTTGAGCAGTGCTTTTTGTTTTCGTTGTAAAGGTCGTTCACATCTTTGGTTTAGAAAGTTAATGCTCGCAATGGGACCAGTTCCATTTTGAGCATTTATGAAATGACAACTTCCTCATATTTAATATCCAATAAAAGGATTAATGGCCATGGTCTAATTAATTCTTTTGCTACTAAGCTTAGTGTTTTCATGTCAATGTTTATGACTATTTTTATTATTCTTAGGACTTTTGATACAACAATGCATTTATAGGTATATCCTACAGCATGTTGTGTGCTTATTTAAATAAATGATATTGACCACCATAAAAAAGGACAACTGCAATTTGCTAATATGGTGGAGTTTTATTTGCATGGTTGGTTTTGTTTCATTTTACTTTTGGGGGGTCGTGGATCCTTAGACAATCTCACAAACCTTACTGATCCCCTTTCTAGAAAAGTACATAATTCTTCATACATACAAAATTGTGGATGCAGTTTTAGTGGGTTCTTGGGAACCCTACAACTTATTCTACTAACTCCACTAAGAATCTTCTTGCTCAGGAGCCTGTTCTGCACCCTGTTGTGTTCAAACTTGAAAACAGACTGATGCTAAATTGGATCTACCTCCTTTTCTCTTGTTCCTCATCTCCCACCAGCCCTCAAGGTTGACAGACAAGTTGCTTTTCTTTCTCAGGCTCCTAAGCCTCAAGGATTTCTTTGTATTGTTCACATTACACTGACCTCTCCTTGCCTCCACACAGATATATACCTTATTTCTAACTGGCAGAAAAAATCAGAGTATTTGAAATGTATAAAATAGCTCTTGGAAAGTCATGGTCATAAGTACACTGTAGTAGTGGCCCATATTACCAACCCCACACAGTGTTTTAAATACCTGTAACGTGCAGCATAGAGAGCTCACACAGCAATTATGAATGCAGTATCACAGCTTTTGAGCCAGAAATGTAGAAAGAGCCTTATATGTGGTGTCCTCTTTAGCCATGTAAAGTGAAGGGTAGGTGGCAGGCGTGAACAACTGTGAAGAGATTGTTATTAGAATAAGGGAGTTTCCTCTTTGTTCCTTGAATGGAAGGCTAAAGTTGATGCTTGATGTTGTAAAATTCATTGATGTAAACACTTCCCAACCACAAAAACCTGAAGTCTGTAGCTTTTAGAGAAAATCACAATTGAATAAACCTTAGGTCTAAGACTGTTGTCTTATGCCTCTTAATTTCTGTATTTTTTCTGCATTTCTGTTTTTAGAGTTCTCTACACATATTGGGTATCCCCCAGCCAGAAGGGCAATGCCGAATTGAATATAAACAAAGAATGTGACAACCGTTGGGCCTCCAGAGGGTCAGGGCCTTCTGGACGAGTGACGTCACCCCATCCATCCGCTCACCTGGCAGCATTCAGACCTGAGCTCTGCTAAAACACACGACTTCACTTTGCTTTAGGACTTAGCTCAAGAAAATGTTCAAATGGTATATGTGTTTGGTACCTTGAATGGTAAATCAAGACTCTGATGTCACTCTCAGTGACATAGAGATCTGAATACGTGATTTATAGAAAATGTTTAAGTCATCAAAAAAGCATTTTAAGAAGTTGGAATTTGGTGTCATGAATAACTGTATTAGAACCTTAAGTAGTAATAATGTCACTTGAATGAAAATCTTAGCACATTACATTTACTGTAAAGGCAATATATTTAAATTTCTATTTTGAAAAGACTAAAATTTCTTGATTCTTAAAAAATGCTAAATGATAATATCTAGAAATTTTCTATTTTTCTCACTATGATTCCAACTAGCAATTGAAATTTTTAAGCTCTGTAATGTCATTTGCTATAGTAGACATGCTATTGCTAAAAATATGAATAAAATGATAGTTTCCAAGACCCGTGAAGACAAGGATCGTATCTTACGCTCATTTCTACATTCCATAATACCCAGGATTGCACCTCCTTTGTAAGGCATATTCAATAAGTGCATGTTGATTCGTATATTGATTTGTATTTTAACTAAAGTGGAAGCACTCTTTTGATTCAAGATGTTTGCAGTGATAGTTTGACAGAAATAATAATTTTGCTAATGTATAGAAACAAATTTGTGTGCCAAGGCAGATAACAGCAGTGGAATCTATTGCTTAAGACTTAATAACTGTAAAATATTTACCATGAAATCCAGAAAAGAATTCCTATCATGTTCAGGGGAAACACATGACACTAATAACTGAGTGAACAGTGATGTTATGGTTTGTCCTCCAATGTTCAATTAAGTGCTGCTTGCCTCTTTTATTTCACAGTAGGTAAGCTTTGCAGTATGTGTTGGCCCTCTGTGGCTTGTTTATTTCCCTATGCTAGGATAATCCCATGAGGTTGATAACGATTGCTTAGTCATCCATTTCTTACCAACAAGCACATAACTCCCTAGGAGAAAATTAAGTACTTTGAGGTGCATTAACTCTTCCAGACTAATGTGGTGATTTTGAAGCTTAGCTAGCAGCTCATAGCTTAGCAGGCTCAGGGATCCGTAGTACAAGGGACTGATAAAAACAGTTAAGAAGTCTACAACAGCTCTGAGAGTTGCAAATCATAACCTGGTTCTACTAAATATGGCAGATATGTTTTTAGGGAAGGCTTGTCCTCTCACATAGCTGTGACCCACAATGAAGCACTGTATTTGCATACAATATTCACTTCAGCTAAATTTGAAGTCACTCAAAACTAGTGTTTATCTGCTTATTCTTGGTCAGTAAGGATGAATGTTAGTTGACAAGTTTATGCACTTTAAAAAAAATGCAGACACGGGAGATCTGTTGTCCTTTGGAATAATGAATAGTTAGGAGGAATATTCTTGGAAGTCTCATATTTCTGTTTGTTTCCCTAGCCTGAGCTTTTATATATAAATATAAATTTGGAATACGTTCCCATGTGTTAACTGGGATTTTACTGAAAGCAGAACCTGAAGCAAGACTTGTCTGCAGTTTATTTGGGAGATTCTCCCAGACAGCAGAAGTGAGAGATCAGGGAGAGAATAAGCTAGTAGTAGCGTTATGTTATTGATACATTGGGGGCTCAGTTTCACTAGGATCACCTGAGGGCCATATACAATATTTTCCAGAATTGTCCACATGAAGGATAAGAAGTAGAAGCAGGTACTGACTGGCTCCTGTTCCCAGATGATTGATGACTACCCCTGGGGATATTAACTCTGCACTTCCAATCTTCACTTGTGTCTGAGCAGAAGAATCAGATGGAAAGGGAAGGAAGTGAAGGCCGAAGAAGGCTGATAAGAAGAAATTGTCAGCTGGAGAATGAGGCTCACTTGAGGCTGAAAAGGAAGTATAGTGAGAATAAATGAATGAGAGAACAGAGAGGGGAGAAGGCTATGGCTGGAAAATAAACTATCTCAAATTAAAAGTTCAGAGGTCCACTTGTATACCTAATCCTGAATTGAAGCCCACATCTTTAAAATAAAAAAAAAATGTTCAGAGGTCAAATGGGTGGGACAGCAATGTTCAGGGTGGGTATGTGGGGGTACCTGGAGCCATGGTCATTGAAGAGAATGGAATTCTAAATGTAGCTTTGATTCTATCATAATACAAATGTGAGATCACCTCTATGCAGAACATCTGAGTAGATGTAGCCACTGTGGCACTTGTGATACTAGAAGTGAACCCTCCTTTTCCTTATTCAATGGTGAGAAATTGGCATAATTTATAAATTAATGTTTACTTGAAATCCTGAAACAGAAAAGAATTCATGTGTTTACTGATGGAATTGCAGACACTCAGTGGTGGTGCCATTAGAAATTTGTAAATAGAGCAAGAAATTGCAGAGGAAGGACCATTAAAGTTTAAATTAGGAAGCCACCTGCCAAAACTTAAGTGTAAGCATTAAGTCAGAGATTGCACTCATGTAGAGGCACGTTGCTTTAAGATTTTATTGTGAAGAAAAAAAAGTAATTATCCACAGTTACATAACATTTTAAGTGGAGTTCTGACTAGGTATATTTTTACAGTGAAGGACCCAGGACAGCACTTGCAAATAAGATGTAGCTGAGCCCTCTGCCACCGGGGCCAACATCTGTAAGTGAAATCGTCCAGGAGCCAGAGATTGTCTCTGTGTGTCTCCAAACTACGGGTAAACCATGACTCAGCTTTCACCAGCACAGTCTCTTTTGTATTTAAGAAGTTTTCTCTTTTTTTTTGGAACAAATGTCTTCATCTTTCTCCATTAATATTGGGTTTGAGTAATTAAAATTAACTCATTAAAGTTTTGCTGTTAGTTTCAAAATCTTATTTTCTGGTATTTTAATAAATGACTATATGTTGTTTTTAGCAAGGGTACACCTTGTATGAACTATTTTCTTGGCAAAATGCCTGCTACTTTCTAGAAAACAATAATACACTTGAGCAATAACTATTGCATCACTTGAGCAATAACTATTGCAGTTTAGAAGTCTGCAACAGCTCTGAGAGTTACAGATCATAACTTGCAAGTACTTGGCAAAGCCCATTTTATACCTCTTCTTATTGAATTCTCATAATAATCCAGTGAGTTAGGCTTGTTTTTATTGTTAGCTCTATTTTACAAATGAGAGAATTGGACCTTGGAGAGACTGAGTGACTCCACTGAGGTCAGATGGCTAGTAAGTGACAAAGGCAGAATTTGCATCCAGACTCTAGCTCCAGAACATGTCCTCATAAACAAAACAGCACTGCATCTTTCCTAAAGAATGTTTTATTTTTATTTTATTTTTAAATTTTATTCTAAAGATGTGGGGTACAGTAGTTATTGTACAGGTAAAGTTTGGGCCTCCCTTTGGTCCCCGCTTTGCCTGGTTTGAGATCAGGTACCCTTATTGATGTTGTGTCTTCCCCCACCCCCACCTCACTACTGCCAATCCCTTTCTTAAAGTATTATGGTAATTGTTCAGGGTTTGCTTATGAGTGAGAACATATGGTACTCTGGTCTTTATTTCGGTGATAGACCATTGAGTATGATGGACTAAATCCATCCAAGTTGCTGTGAAGTCCATATGTTTGTCCTTCTTTGTGGCTGCATTCCATTGTCTATATGTACCATATGAAAAGAATGTTACCTACAAGACAGCACCTTTGACCATGTTGTCAACATAAGCTATACTCTTGATTCTCTCTTAACTCATAGGGGAGAAAAAATGAATGGTTAGGTTGTTCACCAGATATAGTGGTACACGCCTGTGGTCCAAGGTACTCTGGAGGCTAACGTGGGAGGATCATTTGAGCCCAGACGTTCCAGGTTGTGGTGTGCAATGATCATTCACAGTGACCTGTGAATAGCCATTGCACTGCATCCTAGGCAACATAGCCAGATCCATCTCTTAAAAAAAATTTTTAAGTGGTTACTTTGCTGTGTAGCCTACATTACAAGAGGTAGAGAAAACGAAGTTCTGTTGTGTACTCCTCAGCATTTCTTCTTCTTTAACATTCTTCTCCAGAAACCTCCCCACCTCTGGGGGAACTGTGCAGTAGTCTGACCCAGACTGAGAGCATACCAGATGTGGGAGGGAGCCATTCACTATTTAAAGAAAATTATAAGTGTAAATGTTGGACAGGTGTTATAAATAACATGCACTATTAACAGCAACTGACTTTTTTTTTTCCTTTGGAGCATTGTGCTACTTTGTTCTTTCACAGAAGTAGCCCTAGTCAGTAGAGACCCAAGAAGCTATTGAGTAAGGAAGACGTGTGGCTTTTCTCTTCAGCAGAGACAAAAATTGGCTAGATACAGAATAGCATAATATTAAGCAATCTTTCCATGTGACTTGGAATTTTGGGAAGAATTATAAAAAAGGGTCCCAGAAGAGGGGATATGGTGTTTGCTTCACAATGTATATGAATTCTCCTTTGATTTTGTTGTTGTTGTTGAAGGCAAACGTGTAATCGTAATGCATAATTAGAGATACCAGCCCAATTCCCTGGCTTTATTGCTAATGAAGCTAAAATCCAAGCAGGAAATGTTTCTTATTATGAAACTCTAGGATATTCAGTGGCTGTTGAAGACATCTTTCTAGGTTAGATTGTTTAAGTGAACGATTCTTTGGAGACAAAAAAAAAAATGTAACACATAAGTAAACTTCCAACTTCTATTGGCAGCAAAACATTTCTTTCCATGAAACATTAATGTACAGATCCCCCAGTAACAAAGAACATAAAAGCTGATAAAATCCATCCAGTGGTTTTCATGTTCATTATTTAGTTGACTGTATTGTTTGCAGAACGCATTGTACACCTCTGCAGAGCCCTTGGTTTCAAAGAAGCACATTTTGAAAGACACTGGATAAGCTCTATGTGGCAGAGACATTTAGAGCCCCCTGAATGTCAGGTGCTTCACCAAAGTCCACCACCTTGACAGTGATGCAGCGTCATGTAACTAGTTTGATCCAATGGGCTGTAGGTAGAAGTGATGATTGTCAATTACAAGCTGAAACACAGACATATGGATATAAAGTGACCTTCTTCCTCTGAGGCCATAATGAAGGAGCAGGACAGCAACAAAAAGGCAGAGCCTCAGTTAGCCTGGGTCCCTGAGTGTCCGTGAGGAGGAAACAATTCTCTCTCACCACCTACACTGAACATATAGTGTGTATGAGAGACTCTAATGTTTGCTACCACAGCATAAACTAACCTACCTGAACAATCTTGGAAATAAGATACTCTGATTTCTGTTCTTTTTCTATGTCTTTAGTCCTCTTTAAACTTATTTCATTTAGAGGAATACACGGATTCAGCATGCTGAATGCCAGCTCAAGAGTGTCAATATGATTATACTAAAATGATTCTTATGGATATGCTATGCAATAATGTTTTTTAGTCATAACATTGCG